CTTTCTTGTTACTACTAGTAAGGCACTTGTTACTACTAGCGTGGCACTTGTTACTACAGTATAGATGCGCAAACTCAAACCACCGCGTTTGGCCCCAACGCCCACCTCTCCAGGCACCCGCACATCGAGACACAGGGCGGCCACGGTGGCTCCGGGACGGAAACGTCCTACACGGCCCCGGGTGGAAGGACAGGACGTTGGGTTTTCAACTCTGGTGCAGTTGGGTGACTGGATGCCACGAACCATCAAAGTTCACAGAATGGACGTCTTAGGATCATGGTCCAAGCCAGTTGCTGAATCTGGATCTTTCTAGCATCTACTAGTGCTCTGAACTCTGCACCTCCCACATGCTTCTTCCAGCATGTCCGACCGGAGCATGTCCGACCGGCCGTGGGCCGCCGCGACCGTCTTGTCACTCGTCGAGAGCGCTCCCGACGAGGGGAAGCGAACCCGTGCTCCTGCCAACTCCGCTTCTAAGGCGCGCTCTTGGATACCTGCGTGGCATTTCTTCGACTCCCTCCTTCCCCTGAATGGGGGTTTGGCTGGAAAACCCTCCGAAGACCAAACAGTTCGGGGCCTCACTGGCAGTCCGACCTCCCTCTGTCCGCCAATGAGATCTGGGGACGGAGCCACACAGCACCCAACCCCCAAATGTGGGACATCCCAGCTCTGGACCCACAAGCGTGGCCAACCCATAGATGCGAAAGGCCCAATTCAGAGCAATTCAAGTCTCAATTCGAATGACTCACGATAATTTGAGCTTATAAGGTGAGCATCAAGAATCAAGATCTTTGAGTTAAGAAAGACCGCCGCGTCCGGGGCAATGAGTCAAAACTTGCACTCGAGAAGCTTAGAACCAAGAAAGGTTGAGCTGGCATGAGCTGGTTTGGTTATCTCTTGTTCGTCAACACCATTATGAGTCAGACTAGCGGCTGTTCAAATCCGTGGCTGGAAGGCCAAGTGCAAGGAGGACTCGTTTAAACCCGTGGCTGGAAGGCCAAGTGCAGGCGGAGGACTCGTTTGGAAGCAAGAAGTAATTAAGTGACCCAAAACCCATAAATTGACAACCCTTCGGAACAACACTCCAAGTGGACAATGGCCCTGGCAAGACTTCTGTCCTCTGTACCACCAAAAACGCAGTGTTCGAGAACACGCAAAACAAAAAACATCTGTCACTCCGAGAGTGCAAAGATTGTGCGGGCTGGGCACCCCCCTGGTACGAGCGCTTCCGCTCGACATTGGATCTGCAAATGATCCCATGGTCAGATGACTTCAAGGGTCCGGAGAGGGGCCCTGTGTCTTGTCCAAGCCGGATAGAACGGCGGTGCCGAGACCTGACACCGACACCAACAGGTCAAAAAGAGGTCCTGCTCCAATGATCAGGCTGAGTTTCTCAATCCCCGATCCTGGAACGACCGTGTGTCGTATCCGAACCTGGTTCTGTCGTAACCGTGGAGCTCACCGCTCTGGACGTTTGGAGGCCAACCGAAACCGGCGAAACCCCCGGGGCACGTTGAATCCGTGCCAAACGTTCCGCATCAAAGGACCAGGTGAAATCCGCGAAGGTCTCCCGGGGCTCTTCAGCCTTGAAGTCCTCAAGGCTGAGAGTTTAAGATGTGAAGATCTGAAAAAGGGACCTGATAAAAAAAAGGGAAAGGATGGGTGGAATGAGAATGAACAGAAACATAACGTTACTCATATGTTCTCTTGGAGTGACGATTGATCTCATACCATCTCTCCCGCATGCCGTCACAGTGAGTAGCTCTCGGGAGAGGAGTTTCTCAAGGTTTGGTGCGTTTTGTGATCGTCTCTGTCGAACTGCGGACCTGTTGGGATCTTGAAGGCATCGCTGATGATGTGGAAAACCATGGAAAACCCCAAAAGAGTTGTCATGAAAGGTCACCTTGATGCAAGAAACATCAGAGCACCCTCTTCATGGCTGAACCATGGCTACATGTTATCATTGGACATCCACAGCTCCCTTCAGCAAAGGCGCTGGTCGGAAAGCTGATGTGCTTCCCATGTGACTGGACAGGAGGCTGCGCGTAGGTTCACTCGCGTTTGGCAATGTGCGCGGAGTAGTGCTGATGGGCCACTTGAGCCGCAAAAACACGGCGGAGTAGTGCACCGAGCTTCAGCCATGAACCATTTCACATGTCACACCTGATGGAGGTTGGATCTTCTCTAGACGAATTCCACCTGCGTCAGTGTTTCTGTACAGTCTACATGCAGAAGTATACGTTGAGGTTTTAGGGCCGTCGAGATGATGAAAGTAGCTCCAAAACAAAGTGCAGGATATGCGCATGTGGACACTGATAGTACAAAAATACAATAACTATATATAGTATATATTATATATATAGGTTGTAATTACAAATAGAATTTTGGGGGTTGGTATACACTGATGTTCCTTGTAACACAGAGAGTGCGAATCTACCAGAGCCAGCCCAAAGCTAGCAAAGAGTGACCTGCTGCAGGACAATTCCAAAACTATCCATTTATGCTGTAAGGGGCCCGCACCTCATCCTTTTCACCGTAGGGGTGGCCCATAAACATCTATAAACTTGTAGCCTCAGGTGTTATGAGTCCATGTCTCTGTTGCCCAGTCCATCCCACTCCCGGCCTCGCGTTCTCGCACAGACTGCCAGACCTGAGGAGTCTGCCAGACCTGAGGCAGTTTCCGACCCGAGTCCTCGGTGGCAGGTGCCACAGACCTGACCGGGTCAAACACGGTGTCATCTGTCCTATCGGTGACACGTTTGTTTCACGGGGTTCTGTAGAAGTGGAACCATGAGTATCATGATGTAGAAGTGTGGAACTCTATCATGTGACTGCTCAGAAGGTCTTGTCCAGGGTGAGACATGGTGAGACCCAATTCCAGCAAACCCTGACCGTTCCCCGGCCTGCAGGGCTGTAGCACTCCGCTTCTGCAATGCCTCACCGGTGTGGTGTTCCACGGCCATGGATGGAACCCCTGGATTGCTAGCCCAGCATGGATTTGGGGTGCGAATCCTCGAACCATGTGTTTGAGCTCAGCTTTTCGAGTTGAGACGTGGAAGGCTCAAAGTTTCGGTTCAAAGCGTTGCGCGTTGGGGGCTTCCTTCTGGTGGAGGGTCTTTAGTGCTACATGGCTCAAGCCTTCACGGCCCTATCTGGTCTAGCCTGGTTCTGCCATCAGCCTTGCACATCAATGGGCTGGACGGACCAAAAATCCATGAAATCAGGGAGCATCAAAAGGCTCGGTCCTCATGGTTCGGGCGGTCCTCCACCAAAAAAAAACACCCACTGTTCCCTCAATCCCGCCATATCCCGCCTCTGACTCAACTGGAGCAGGCCTCTGATTCCGAGAGCAAAGTCTTGCGAAAGAACAAAAAAAGCATCAAACAACAATGGATATGTTTTCAGTCAGACCAGTTCAACATACTTCAAAAGGACAACTCTTGTACACTTGGAATGAAAGTTTGGGTCAAAGCAATGGCCACCATGCAGTCTTTCAAACCTTAGGATTCCCAAAGAAAAAATATACCTGCTATATCCTGCTATGGCCATGGGGCTGCTGAGCAGAGCAAGCATTCTTCCATCAACAGTGCTGCAGTCGTGTTCGTTTTGGGGCACAGGTACGTGTTCGTTTGGGCCGATAGGCCGGTGTGGGGACAGTCCACATCCCCCGGAATCCAGGTGTTCCGTTTTCACTGGTGCAACGGAACGTCCCAGGGGGGGCTCCAGGAAAGGTCCAACTGTGACTAGACCATGCCAGACCTGCAACTTGACTCTGCTCGATGTCGAGGGTTTCACTGAAGGTGAGCTCAAGTCCGCTGAAGAACATGCTTTTAAAATGGGTCGCCCCCAGAATCATGGGATGGCTGAGCCTGACTTCATGACTTACAGAAGAAACCTGTGACAGGATACCGATCTGTTGGGGGGTTTGATCTTCTGGGCGTCAAACAAACCGCACTATCTCCAAGTCTTCATCTCCATGGCCTCAAAAACGCCCAACCCAATGGTTTCCGTCTTTCAACGAATGCTTCAGGTCTACGTGCTGTGTAATTACCTGCCTCAGGGTGCTCGTGTGCAGCACCTCAGGTCGAGGTCAGCCCCGCCTGACGAGGTCCGCGCTGCGGCTCCTGGCCTCGGGGCAGGGACCGGGAGGGACTCGGTACGGCCGCCGTGGCTTTTTCCGAAGAAAACCGGTTTGGAAAAAACGAAGGAAAACCGAGGGTTCAGATGGGCAGATGCCCCAATGATGGACATGTGACATGACCAACTCTGAGGTGGAAGATTCAACCATCCTTTGCTGAGTTGTCCATTTTGGGGGGGTCATGTCTCCAATTCATATACATGTAGGTTGGGAGGCCATTGCTAGTAGGCTTGGAGGCCACTGGTCGGTTGGATTTTAAAGACACTCCCAGCATCACCTATGAGGCGTTCGGTGGATCAAAACCAATGTCTTCCACACACCCAGCATTAGATTCTGAAGTCACCAGTCCACCTTTGCTGTCGACCCTGTGCCTCTCGCAGTACCAGCGAATCACACCCCAAGAACAGGTTCATACACTGTGATTGAAACTTGGCTGATCTTGAATATCATCTAATCATCTATATAACCAGCATGCTTTGGGAAGCCCTCTCTTTTAACGCACATCCGTTCCTCGCCCGCCTCGAATCACGAAAAACCCGAGGCTTCCGCCTGTGAGGAGCTGGCGGGACGCTCACAGATTTCCCAGTTCCTGAGCAGGTTCGGATCGCGCAGTCCACCATGTTCGCCCGACCATGTCCACCTTCGGTCGCGACCGACGTGATGTCGGTAGGTCAACCAGGAGATCCGCTGATTCACCCGGTGTCTGAGTATGTGCATAGGGTGCATGGGGAGCGTTCAGTGTCTGCAAGTCGTGTTACCAAGGTATCCTGATTTTGACTCACAGCCACAGATTTGGGAAAAAGGAGTCTGCGATTCCAAAACCCAAAGGCTCCATGAAACTAAGATGAGAGAAGAGATCCAGCGCGGACTGGCACCTAGGCTATGATAGACAACAGCGCACCACAAAGCGAACCCCAAAATTAGCTGGCTGTGGCAGATCTTTCATAATTGGCGGAAGCCGACTGTATCAGGTTGGCTGTGCTAGCTTCCGATCATCCACTTGCCTCTGGGCAAAGGGAGATGTCCGCCCAGTTTGATCCGATGTGGGAAAACGCAGCCTCGTAAAGCCATGGGAAAGGCTTACACCTGCAAACATCAACCCTTGAATCCGACTCTAAAGCTCAGTTAGACTTTCTAATGCCAGTGCAGCTGGTGAAGCTGAGCACATGAGACCAGGCCCAGCGTCTGAGGGATGCTCCGCTGCAGGTCCTCGCCACTCGCAACGGAGCAGAAGACAAGTGAGACCGTGAGATGCAGTGCGCTTTGAACCGGGGGGGGGCAGCGCAAAAACCACCCTCTTCGCTCCAGGTTTCAACAAAAATGTCCAGAGATGAAATGACGTGACCAACTTCTTGCTTTTCAGATCTTGACGGTTTTTTGGTTTTACTGTTTTGTCCCGGTCCAGTGCGTCGGAGACAGGCACGGTGGCATCAAGACCTGAGATGGGGCGGGGAGAAAAGCCAGGCTGGTGATGAGGGGAAGACCCCAGACCCAAGATGTTCAAAAGATGTCGTGATGTCAAGGGTCTTATGATTCTTATGGCTCACGATTCGGAGTTGGGCTTTAGCATGAGTTGGCAGATCTAGATTCAAGACTTGCAAGATTATGCAAGTCTTGAACAGGAGAACCCAACTCAACCCGGAACTTTCCGGGTTGTGGTCATCCCTCCAGTCATTGGAAACCCAGCAATCGGCCAAACTTCGACCGGGCTCCATGTCCTTGAATCGGAAAAGGACACTGAACCCGGCACCAGTTGCTTCAAAACTCTCAACAAGTGCCTGGCCTTTGAAAGCTGACCGGGAAGAATGGACTGGGCACCTGTTTTTTGAAACCAAGACATGGGTGTCGCAATGCAGAAACTATGGTCCTATGGTTCTACGGTGCAGTTTGACTTGCAGATTATCTCACTGGGTAGTTTCCACACAACTGGACTTGAGAGCACAGCAGCTGGGGGTTCTCCATGTGCTTCTCCAGGGTTGAGAAGTGACAAGCTCCCACAACAATACAATTGGATCCAAATTAACATCTCCAGTTATCCGGCAGTATGCTGTGTCCTTCAGGGTTAGTTAAGGAATTAAGGAATCCCAACAGCTGGTTTATATCTACGGACTGGAACTTAGAATGTGGATGTTGTTTCCAAAATGTTAAGATACAGGGCTGGAATGTCCTTCGCCCTGCTAATCCGGACCCCACAGTTAGAATGTGGTGCGCAACGAACATTCAAAGTTCCAAGTTCGGGGAAAACGGATCACAATCACTAGATAGAGAGATGAACAGGTAGTTGGGATTACGAGACATCTATAGATCGCAGAGTGACTCCCTCGCAAGAATCCAGGTGGAGGTGTCTAGAAAAAGTTAAACACATTAAAAAACACTTCAGAGATCTCAAGGAACGGAGCCTGGAATCAGACTTTTGCTCTAGACCTCATTGCAATCCTGAGATCTCAGAAGATCTCTGTTGTATAAATCCTCATCCTTGTATTGTTCGCGATATCATCTCCGTCTCCAGCACCGAAAACAAACAAACTTCATCCCCAGCAACCTTCCCCAAATCCTCCACCTCCCAAAAATGATCATCCTGTATCATCCTTTACCGGCATTTCTCTTTGGATCCCTGGTTTTTTCGTTCCAACCGGCCTGGTATCCGATCCACTCCGCTCGCGCCCAGGTCCAACCGCGGGTTCTCCCGAGGCCGTCGCTTCGGCCTCGCCGATGCGATCCTTCCAACCAGGGCCGCCCTCGCGGAACCTGGGACGTGGGTGACGGTCCTTGACGGTCGATCGGGCAGACGGTCGACGGGTGTGGGAGACCCCGACCCCGAGACTTCGTGGGGTCGGGCAACGGGAAGGTGCCCAGTTGGGCGGGTTGGAATGATTAGAGGTCATGGATGAACTGTCAGACTTTGCACAGTTGGTCCTCCAAAACAAGCCCCTGCAACTGCATCAAACTATACCCAACTCCTACCTACAGGAGACACATGTCTTCGTCCAGCCACTGGATGATTCGGTGGAACCCACTTTTGCCACTTCAGCCTCTCAACAAAGGTCACGACGTCACAGCGAGGACGTCCAGAACCCCCACGCCTCCAGGTCGATCGACGGCGCGTCCAGCTCGCAGCCATCCGGCAAAGGCCGCAACGCCCCCGAGCCAGAGCCCTGCGAGCACGTCGCGCGTTCGTGGAGGACAAGAAGGGGAAAAGAGGAAAAGTTAGGTAGCCCCCCAAGTCACGAACATGGAACTGGAAAAAAACAAGGTGAGCCCGCGGACCCAAAAGCAAAAAGAAGCGCACAATCCAGGAAAAATAAGCAAACACACATTAGCAGGCCAAAACGAAGCATCAGCCCCCTCCAGGCTTCGTGGCAACCATGGTATTTCAAGCATCGCGGTTCTGGTGCGCATCCGTCCACCCCTGTCTGCCATATACACCCCCGTCCACCCCTTGGTCAGCTTTGAAAGCCCTCCAAAGCGGTCATAAAACGATTGCAACATGGCTTCTGACAACCGTTCCAGGAAGCATGGAGCAGCATCAGCCCCCTCCATGGTTCGTTCCAACCATCCAATTTCACGCGTTGCGCTTTTGGCACGCAACAATCCTGCCGTGTTGGCCATGACTTGACTGTCTGGCGCATGCATTGTGCACATTTTGGACACCCAACACCATCGTATCAGCCCCGCAACACAGCTCCACTCACCTCCCAACGGGCTTCCGCGAAGCATGGAGCAGCACTACCCCCACCCATGCTTCGTTCTACTTGTGCACTGACCCGGAGCAGCCTGCAATGATGCTTGTGGTGCAACCATGTCCTGGTAACTAGCACATCAGCCGCGCAAGCGTCCACACCCACGCACTCCCCAGCCCCGTCCACACCTATGCCCCGTCCACACCCACGCACCCCTCCATCTTCCCTCCCCAGCCCCGTCCACACCCATGCCAATGCACCTCCCGCTCCCCTCCATCCTCGCCCCGTCCCCACCCATGCGCCTCCCATCTCGCTCCCCTCCATCTTCCCGCCTCCCGTCTCGCTCCCCTCCATCTTCCCTCTCCAGCCCCGTCCCCACCCATGCGCCTCCCGTCTCGCCCCCCCTCCATCTTCCCTCTTCAGCCCGTCCCCACCCATGTGTCTCGCTCCCCTCCATTTTCCCTCCCAGCCTCGTCCCCACCCATGCACCTCCCGTCTCGCTCCCCTCCATCTTCCCTCCCCAGCCCCGTCACCACCCATGCACCTCCCATCTCGCTCCCCTCAATCTTCCCTCCCCGGACCCGTCCCCATCCATGCGCCTCCCGTATCGCTCCCCTCCATCTTCCCCGTCCCCACCCATGCACCTCCCGTCTCGCTCCCCTCCATCTTCCCTCGCCAGCCCCGTCCCTCCCGTCTCGCTCCCCTCCATCTTCCCTCCCCCCAGCCCCGTCCCCACCCATGCGCCTCCCGTCTCGCTCCCCTCCATCTTCCCTTCGCAACCCCGTCCACCTCCACATCCATCTTCCGTCCCCGACAACGCACGCTTTGTCCCGTCGAGAGTGTTCTTGAGAATGGTAGTGGTACAGTTTTTCCACTTAGGATTTGTGAACGTGCTTGGTGATTGAAGGTTGATTTCCAAACCAGGTCAAACCAAACGCGGAGGCAGGCGGGCTCTTTCGGAGTGTACCCAGCAGTTCCGCGGAGTTGGCCCTGGAGCTCCATTAAGATGCCCCAGCTAGCTTCTTGCTACGAACGTAGCGATGCACCTGTTGCTAATAGCGATGCCCTAGAAGGTATCTTCTTGCTACTAGCCGTACTAGCCCTAGCTTACATGGATGTGAATGTTGAATCCCGGAAATGGAGGTCGCGAGGACCAGTCAGACAAGGAAGGCAAATCCAAAGGCTTTGACCGTCGCAGTTTGTTGGTTGACTTTGCCCGTCTGTTGTGAACATCCCAATTTCACTTTTTCGGTGTTCCTGCAGAAAGCAAGGTTAACCTCTTACCAGTAGTGGGAGAAACCAATTCCCAAACAAGGTTAATAAATGTCTTTCTCTGACTGGATAGGCCATCTTTTATGGAAGTAACACCTCTGACTGGCGTCCGAAATCTCGGACATCGCATCCTTGGTGGTGCAAGCGGTCCGTGGTGGTCCTGTGGGTCCGCTCAAGCTTCCTTCCGAAGGCGGCTCGCCCAACAGTGCCCTACCGGCGTAGAAGAGCTGCGTGCATTCTTTTTTACAGGGCCCTACCGGTGTATACAGTGGCCCAACAGTGCCCTACAGTGCCCAACCCGCGTTATCCCGCGTTTCAGTTCGATTAACTGCTGGAAAAAAAAAAAGAAAGGAGTCTCAGCGGGTCTCCGCGGGTCTCTCTCTCAGCTTCCTAAGAAAGGAACAAATGTTTAAGTCTTTCTCATCTGCCATTTTCTTATTAAGGCGTCCGATTCGATGCATGCCAGTGAAGCTGGCGACCATAAGGCTTTAGTAAAGTGCAAAAAAGGGCGTCCAAGTCTTATCTTCAGCATTCTCATACACATCCTTGAGCCCCTTGCAATGGAGGTGAAATACCATTAACATCCATTAACAGACCTTCCGTGTGACTGGTGAGATCTGGTCGGTGCGACTGGATAGATCTGGTCGGAGTCTTCCCTGCTTTGCCTGCAACAGCTAGGAAAAACTATCCACCCTGCCACTGATGTCCTTGGGTGGGAGAGTCACTTTGGAACACAAGTTTTAGTTCATTTTGGAACACAGGGTTTTAGTTCACTTTGGAACACAAAAGATGTGTCACTTTGGAACACAAAACAACCCAAAATCATGGAAGGGTTAATAAAAAGCGAGATCACTTTGGAACACAACACACCTGGTTTTTTGGGTCACTTTAGAACACACACACAGACACGGATGGGGAGGGTTTAAAGATGAAGGATGGGGTGGGGTGGGGGGGATGGGGTGGGTGGGTGTTAATAACGTCCCTCTGGATATTCATCTACATGATGATCTCTTTTTGCTAATTGCTTCCACAGTACCATGTAACACAAATGCTCTGCATCCTTCATTCATTTGCTAGTGGTTACGGTGGCCTCCAATCTACTAGCGATGGCCTCCATAGTAGTAGCGATGGCTTCCAACCACTAGCGATGAACCGCGTTCAGAAGCGATCACATTGCCGCGTTCCGAAGCGATCGTTTTTTCTGCGTTCCGAAGCGACTACCTCACCATGTCCTTGTGGGAAGAATAGACAGGTCGGCAGGCACCAAATATCATCAAATATCTATACCAACTGGGTGTTTGTTCCTCTAATCGCCAACCAATCAAAAGTAAAAGGCGATCTGTTACCCAAAGTACCCTAGAAAATTGAACATGACCACCCCCAAAAGACCAGGTACTTGATGGTACTTGTATTCATGTTCCACGGTACGAACTGAGACCCCAGGTATGCACACTCTACATCACCTCAAACAACGTGCGAAACGCGGGCCGAATCCCCCACCTTTGCCAGCTCGGCCTTCAAACGCCGCCCCCGCTCGTGTCGCGGCTTGCGCTTCGCCACCTGGGTAGTACGGTGGGTTCTTCATGGTGGTTGCTGGGTGTGTTGGTGAGTTTTGGTGGGCAGTGATGCGCAGTGCTGCCAGCAGGTAGGTGCGGGTCGGCACGGGTCCCAACCCTACACGACATGATGGATCTCTACAATCATTGTGACACTTGAGGCACTGGAGGCCATCCATCCACCGGCCTGGCCGCCGGACACAGCCCAAACAACCGAGTGCCAAGTGGAAATATCCAGGAATTATGACCAACACCTTCAGTTTCCAGGTCGTAATATGCAACGCAGGATTGCAATCAACCCTTGTATTTTCAAGGATTTCTTCTAGTAATTTCTGGTCTTGCAGACGCCTTCGCTCACGTCCCTTCCTCCAAATTGATGGAAGTCTCCAAAATGAGCATTTCGCCCAACCCAGAAACGAGGGTTTCGTGCGAGACTTCGCAGCACAGATTGAGAATCTAGACTTAAGCCGCTATCAACTGGCAACTGCACATCTTGATGGGGCCGGATGATCATGCAACGGATTCTCTGGATGTCGGTGATGCCAAGCATATACCAAAAGCATAACTTGCATCCTTAAGCCTTAAGCGACGCCTCTCCAGGAGCCCGACTTCGGATTCGTTCAGCGTATTCAGCTCTGCCACAAGGCGGGAGGCTTTGGGCTCTTGATGCTCCTGGCCACTGGCAGCCAAGCTCATGAGAGCACTATCGTGTTGCAATCCAACAATGGTTCCGCGCATGGAAGTGCGGCCTACAACCAGGGAAACACTCAGACTGCACAAAATTTATAAACTCATTTATGTAGAGAAACAATGAGGAGCACACCTTTCATGCCCACTTAGTGGCTTATGAGTGTGTTCTTGCTTCTTATGTAGCAGAAACCTGCAACGTCAACAGAAACGCAACAAGTCAAGAGTCAGATGAAGCAATTTCATTGGAAAAGGTGATGAACTTGAACAGAAGCTAACCAAAGCTACCCTTCAGCCCTTCCCCAAACTTTTTGGAACAGGAAGTGCATGATGCTGTCTAGTTCTGTCTCGCTCTGCATGAGCGCACGCCAGCCTTCAGTGGTTCTGCCAGAGCTTTCGGCGAAGGATCCTGCACACACACAGTCTTCGTTCCAAGCAAATGCAAGGCCTGGAAATAGGCAAGCACTCCTTAGACTGGATGCCTGTACATGTCCAAGATTGGTATCATCGCTTTGGAACAAGTCTAATAATGGACTTTGTGGTCTGGAACCGCAGCTTTGTGCCATCGGTCCCGACTGCACCGATGGTGAACCGTACAACGCAGCCAGCCTAACCCGGTCGCGAACGCCTCGAGCTCTTTGGGCAGCTCTGCCACCAAGCGCTGGGGACGCTCCACAGAGCACGCTGTGTCGGCGTGAGGCCTGCGAGGTTGGAGGACCAAAGGGGTAGGGTTGGGGAGTAAGTCGAAAGATGATGACCAAAACTGGGTTGAATCTAGATCAGGACCGGAAATCGAGGCAAAATCAAGGCAGAAATGGAACAACTTCTGGTGGAGGAAAGAAGTTACATCACAGACAGATGGCGACCCCCAACCCCAACTGTTCGTCCTGCAAAAGCATGCAAAAGCTCATCAGTTGTGTTGATCTGCCCCGTGACATTTGGGTGTATTGAAATAGGGAGACCTCCCAGGCCCCTGGAAGGTTCGGGAAATAGGCCAGTCTATTGAGCCAGGGGCGATTGGAGGTCTCCCTCTTAAAATCCACACACTCCAAATTGGAGGTCGCCCTGACCATCCTGACCTCACGACATGATCTTTGAGACCTCTTGCAGCATCCCTTGCAGGGGGGCCCTTGCAGAGGCACCCCGCCTCTCATCCAGCTCAGCAAAGAGCTCTCCCAGGTCCCTCGGCCCGTTTCGCGATCCGTTTCGAGCGGTTCGACATAGACTTGCTGCATATCTTTTAAAATCGGGGGAGAGAGAGAGAGAGAGAAATGGAGAATGTATGAGAATGTATGAGAATGCAGACTCTTGATGAAGAAAGACATGGGAAAAAAACGACACGTATGAAGAGACTTGACCATCTCTGTCTACGGGTGTTATTCATCAAGACTCTACGACCACGGACAGAATCATATCAGCGTAGCAGTGCAACAGCGAGGCACAATCAAAGGATTCAACAACGCACTTGATGGATCTTCGTGCTGCAGAGCCTCTTTATCTGGTTTGAACTCACCCTACACCCAGTTGAGAGTACCAACAGGTTTAGCTTGTAGTACTTCACCCAGGTCACATTGCCAAACCATGCAAAACCCACCAACGATTCTTGCACCAATCTCCAACTTATTTTCAACACTTAGATTTTCGTCCACAACAACACGGTTTCTTCTTTCTTTCGTGTGTTCTTTTTCTTTAGACCTTTATAGAATCTTTTAGATTTAGACCTTTTTGGGTTTGTCCGTTTTTAGTGTTTCAACGGAACAGGAGGCGGCGTCTTCGATGACCTACAGCACCAGAACACGTCGGCGCGTGTTAAACATCGCCGGCCTTCTCATTCCCCCATTTAAACCGGCAAGACTCAAAAGCAATGAAAGAAGCATATACCAAAGAGGTCGTGATGCAGTATTATTTCCAGGATCAAATGGAATATTGTGGAATCAGTTCCTGAACAAAAAGGTTCAGTCAAAGATCAAGTTGAACATGTTGAAGTATTCCCTCTTCGGATGGCCTTCTTTTTGGTCATTCACTGAGACTTGGAAGACACTGGGGACCCTCCCTAATACCACGCTCAAAAACCCCAGCTACTTGGTATTTGGAGAGTTGAAACACAAAGCATGGAGATCTTCAAGACCACTTGACTTGCAGTCCTCAATCTGGCCGCCAGTGACCTCTGACCTTGACCCTTGTTCGGAACATCTGGCAGGCGATGCTGTGCTGATTCACCAGAACCCGAGGAATTACAATCAAGCCTTAAGCATATAAGCATGATCTTGGAGAAAAACTCGAGTGCTCCTTCTACCCTTCTCGAGTTCGTCATTGAAGGTCTGATCATGTTGCCGATTTCCGGTGGAAAGATGTGGAAAAGCCATGTGTTCCCTTTCCAACTCCCGGCCTCATGAATTCCGGATGGTACTCCGAACCTCAGGAACCTGACGATGACCGGTCAGACCCGTCGAACGGCCACGACGCGTCCGCGGTCGTCCCGTGCTCTCCCAGTGACACATCCGGAGCCGCCGCGGACGCCGTGGACGTGACGGCTCCCGCCGCGTCGCTGCGAAAGGGATCGAACTCGGAGAGGAAATCCACCTGATCAGGGATGAAGACCTTGGGCGCCACTGCAAGGGATGAACATCTTGGTGAAAATCTGTGAATCTGTGAAGAATGAAGTTCTAAGAACTTCTGAGGATCTGGTTGGATCTGGTTCATCTGAAGTTCATCTTGCTTCTATCCGATTCTATGGAACATGTGGTCCCCAAATCAGTCAGGATGTGGCGCAGAACCAAAAATATGGTCCCCTGCCACACGACCCGACAGCTTCACCGGAACATGCGCCGCGTGGCTCGCCCCTTCGGCGCTGAAACGCTCACGCTCTGCCGCTCGTGGCTCGCCGCACCTCTTCCGCGGGCGGCGCTCGGTTCGGCGCGGGCGGTGCTCGGTTCGGCTCCGGGCACCGATGGCTCAGCTCGTCGCCCAGGGGGACAATGTCATCCCCTGCACGAGTGATGAGCGCGAGCGCGAGCGTGCGAAAGGATCCTTAAGATCCTCTGATATTCTGTTTAAAATACAGACAAAAACACGCTACCACGTGCTACCATGGTCCTGTTGAGCCGCCTGAAAAGTGAGTGTCTCTGGGTTGGTGAGCTAAAACCCAGAACTCAAGCAAACATCAAGGAGTCTGCAATCAAGTTGGACAATGAACCATCAATGCATACCTGTATACTGGATGCATGATTTGCCCGACCTTTTGAAGCCCTGTTGCACGATGAGTTGGAAACCGTGGGTATCTTTTAGTTTGATTGTATAAACCGATTGAGCTCCTCTGATGGGCTCTGCCAACCTCAAAGTCCATAGTGAAGTGCAAAACTCTTTCTCTTCATCCACTTGTCGTCTTGAAAAGCACTTGGAACCCCCATCAAGCCACTGACACGGCAGACTCAAAACATTGCACATTGCCGCAGCATTGGCATACATGCAGCATGTTCTATTTCAGTCACAACATGGATGTCAAAACGAGTGACGGTCTTGGGCTATCTTGGGCTCGTAGTGTGCTTCCGAGGAGCAAATTGTTCAGGAGTTGCATCAAACCAATCCACCCAACCAGCATCAGTTGGCAGAAATCCAAGGTTACAGTGTGCTACTGCAGCATCTTTAAGTGCTAGCAGATTGAGTACCAGAATCTTTCGCCCAAGTCCTCCTGAGGAGTTTTCACTCATCATCTGTAATTGGGCACTCTTGGTCTGTATGCTCAAATCTTTTACTGAGTCAAAATGACCGCTTGGCGTACATTCTGGACCCCTCCGAGCCCTCAGAGCCCTCTGAATTGACCGTGCCGCTTGGTTGCGGCAAAGCCATTTTTGTGGTGAGGTACTATCTGAAAGATATCTTGTCTCTAAAAAAATAGAAATCAGGGCCCTGGGCTTCAAATCCCAAACTTTGGTGTAAGACACAATCTTGCTAGAAATGGTTATATATATAATTGGTTTCGGAGGCCCAGGCGCAAGCGTCCCAATGCACTACAAAAACCCTTGTACATGTTGGATCGTCTGCCCCCGTTTCACCACCGCACCTAGAAGCTTGGTGGAGTTCACGCGGTTCACAGGTGTGCCTCACCGAAGGGGAGTTCGGCGATGTCCAAGCAGAGTTCGGTCAACTCATGGTTCAAGCGTCCCAAGTTCCGAAAAGGACTGAAAAGGACTAGGAGCGATCGGACGCTAGGGGCTCCTGGCCTCACTACTAGGAGCGATCGGACGCTACGAACGGGGCTCCTGGCATCGCTACTGGTCTCCGATCTTCACTGACATGACATGACTCGACTCCGTTTTCGGATGATTCCTCTCGGGGCCATGTTTGACCGAACACAGCTGATCTCCACCGAAACGTGCGTGAAAGGTCGGACGTTGGTGGAGACCAACGTCCAACTCGGCGTTTTGGGGGAGAACTCGCCGCCCAAAGCGTTGTGTCAGGGGACTGGACAGGGATGGCGTAGAGGAAAAAGCTCCCTGATGCTCGATGAAGCGTTTGAGGTGAGGAGATTCTACTACACCCTGGTGACTGCGATCCTCCCAGCTCTTCTTACCAGTCCCTACCATGTATGTGGTCTCGCCTTGGGATCGTGAATCAGCACCCAAACTCCACTACCCCCTCCCCCTGGCGTGGCCTGGGGATGGTGGCGTCGAGCTAAAGCGAGGGGTGGCGGCTGGCGAAACGCGAAGCGAAACGCTCGGCGGGGCAGGACGGACTCTGGTTGGGTTTCGAAGAACTCTCGTACACTCTTTGTAGAGGAAAATCGTCTTCCCAAAGGCCATTCTCCATTTCCATGTTAGTGAGTCGGAGGGTATCATATCTCATATCTACTACTGTTTGAGGGGAGGGAGTTCAGCTCCAGTGGGTTTCTTACTATGGAAGGTTGGGCAAGTCACAGGAGTCATATGAGTCACATAGAAGGGCCTAGGGACTCCGTTGTGGTGAAGCTGGTGAAGCTGGGGGGCGGTTTTTGAGGGGGTCTGTCCCGACCGTCTTTGAAGGAGTCTGTGCGCCACAAGCCGCCCAGATGGGATGGAAGTGAATGACTCAGATGGATTTCGAAGAACAAGGACTTTCTTGAATAAACCGTGTCTTTTTGAGAGGAACTGTCGAAGGACCGGACCTGGAAGCCCCTCTAAGTACAGCTGTTTGATGTAGAACCGAAGATCCACCTTTTAAAGGGTGTAGGTTCTTCACCCAAAACCATCTCAAAGGTCAGAAATGATCCTGATCCGCTTCAGCCGGCCAGTGAACAACTTCCCAAATCGGTCATCATTCTTCCAAGCTTCGTTCATCTCACCCATCTGGGCAGAGTACCCACCAGTTCAAGCGCAATGACTGCCCAAAGAGCTTCAAAACCACCTGAGAATGTACCACGAAAGGACTCCCACAGACCCCAACCAACCGGCAAAGCTTGCACCCACCATCCACACTCCCGACCTGGTGAAGATGCCGGCGCTGTCCGATTCACCTCGTGGATGCTCAAGATCTTTGGGACCGCCTGGTTCCGGTCGCGGACCGACCGAACGGGTCAGCCCACCGAACGGGACCGAGGGCCCGACGAGGTTACACTACGTATGTGAAGGCTTTTGGAGACCTGAAGGATGCAGCTGGTTACCTGAAGGTGCTGGAAGAGTCTGGAGGTTTCCGGAGCTGTGAAGCACTTTCTAGGTAGGATGATCCTCCGAGGAAAAAAAAGGCCGCCAGTGAAGCCAAACAAAAGCGTTGTTCGTATATCAGCTGTGGGGGAAAAAACACCTTTACAAAAACAGAACTGTCGGGTTGGTACACGCTTGCCTTTGTAATTTGGCACCCAGATCTGCAATGTGGCAAGCAAGCCATCCAAATGAGCCTTTCGAATTGGGGCCCAGTCAATTCTGCCGCTTGCAACAAAAATTGCTGTTGACAGGACCCTTTGCTTTTCGGCACCCTTCGGCCAGATCTGCCTTTGGGGTCATTGAATGCACTGACGTTTGTGTTTGCAGCTCCGTTCACCAAATATGGCCCGAATCGATGCGGGACTTCTCGCTCGTGGTCCAGAACGAAGTAAGTTGGAAGCATGGTTGACAACTGGGGCCGATGATCATGGCCCGCCGGATCCTCCGGTCTCTTGGAGAACATCACTTCATCAATCTTCATCACTTCATCGCTTCATTGCTTGCCAAGCCAAGACTGGACGCCGAGCCACCAAGCCATTCGTTCCATGATGCAATCGGGTCGATCAATGAGTCGACATGGAAGTCCCTCAACAAAAAACTCGGTGGATTCGGTGGATATCACAATGTTCAACATATATATATATATAATTACAACTATAAATTTATACAGTATATATAATGCCGCTGGTATCTTTTTTCTTCACCATTGGCAGAAAAGCCGTCCAAAAACTCAACAATTCCCCTCCAAAACGACCAATAGGTTGAACAGCAAGAATTCTGAGCACAGATGCTTGACACATGTTTTGGGTGAGCACCGTTTTGTGTTGGGCCGTTTTGATGGTTTTTGGGTCTCCAATTCGTCTCACCCAGTGATGTTCGGCCTCCAAGGCTGCCAAGGTGTTCGGCCTCACACTGTCGTTCTCCATGGCCCAGGACGTCCAACGCAGCGCGGAAAGAAGAGGGAATCGATTGAGGACATCGCGGGGTTTTGGCACTCACCCTTAGGGGGGTTGTAGTCTCCAAAAACCTGCAACATGTCTTTACATGTCTTTAACATCCATGAACTGCTGGGTAGGCTGCATCATGGTGCAAGCTTTGGGCTACAGCATTTTCGGCCTTGAAAGACTAAGACCCTTTTTGCGGGTGTGATGGAGACACAAAAATGGAGACTTGGCAGACTGGTATCCAAAAATCTGTGGCCGGGCCCTCAGGCATTTCCAACTCGTCAAGGTCAGATGTCGCTGATGTCGTTTGCTTTGCTTCGTCTTTGCTTCGTCGTCGGCGCTTCAGCGCCAAGCCAAGAGGGACAGCGGAGTTCAAGCGACCAAGTCTGTAGAAGAATAGGTGCACCACTTGGGTACATCTCTTCAGTGCAAAAAGCTGATGATTGCGTTCTTACACCAAAATAGAAACAGAAAAACGAGTTCCTGTAGTGAGCGACCGTAGAGCTTCCTTCGTCGAAACGGAACACCTCAACGTCACGTCCCCTTAGATGACCGGTCGATGTAATGGCCGAGCACTGATACTGTCGCTGATACCATCACCGTGGTGGCCGGGAGAGCGGGTACGTGACTAGCTACGTGACTAGACTATTACGTGACTACAACCCTCAGCAGGTGTCGAAGCAACAGCTGAACCGCTTCCATGATTCTCTCAGCCTGGAGATTCATGTAGTAGTAAAACAGCCGTGTGACATCGTGGCTCTCCTCCAGTTCTGACCTACTGGCCAGCCTGTTTCTTTCTTAAGAATGACTTCACCACCCGCCCTCTCGGGGCCCTCGTGGGCTGTAGGCCCCATCTTGATCCCTCCTCATCCCCAAGCGTTGCACTGGGGCTTTCGGCCCACCTGGAAGCTTCAACGGCCGCGCCGCTGCCATCCCCGTCTTACGGGTGTCGAACAGCGAATCGACGCGGATGGATTTCTCGTTGCGGATGGGGCTGATGTCGGGAGTCTCCTTGGAGCAAAGCCTGGAATGGCAGAGCTCCTAAGCAGCTGGGACTCTTCCTCAGCGCTGTGACTGTGTTTGCATTGAGTTTGTGGCACATGGGTCTAAAAATCTGACAAAGGGGATCCTCGTCTGACACATGAGTGTGTTCTGATGTCAAGGTTATTGCCTTACTAGTCCCACAACTTGACAATGGCGTTGGCTTCCTCGAACAAGCACAAATGACCAATAGAGGATTCACGGCCATACATCCTTCCATAGGTGTCCATATCAATCAAGGGTATAACATGGTATAGCATGGTATCACTGGGTATGACATCTCCATTTCCACATGATATCCATCCATATCAAATGCATACAGTACCTATAACAGCTTCATACGACTCGGCGGCTCTCATGTGCTTCCGCAGTCCAAACCCGTCGACTGTCAGCACTGGGGCCAGGAGTGGCAATCAGACTCTCCAACCGTCGACGATCCGTGACGCCCTTGGATTCGCTTCAAACAATGTTGATTGTGATATGCTTTGAAGGTGATGAGCCAATAGTATCCTTGGGTCATGTTGATATGTCGTGGACGGGGGGCGCTCCTAGGGTTGAAATACGGTCGGTCGTATTACGCAGCGTTGCAGCGGCACAAATGGTACAGCTCTACAGCCACGTCCACTCTGAATTTCAGAGGTTGGGTGGGGTGGGATATGCATGGTGCCAGTTGCAGGCCGGAGGATGCTGTTCTTCTTATGCTTCGGACAATTTGTTTAAAGTCTGTCTCCTGCGGTAGAGAAGAATCATCAAGGGACCTTTGTGAACAATTATTCACTGGTAATTACCTACCATGATGATTGTCCAACCCAAACGAACCGTGGAATGCAATGATACTCTTCCATCACCAATCGTCGCTGAATCACTGCCCGAATATTCCCATCATAGTTGCCAACACATCCCAGGGGGGCTCAAGAATCTGCTCCATCGCTGGCGCCCGTCTCCCTAATGATGTTAATACATGTTAATGCACTCATACCATTCTAACTCAATCATCTATTGAATCTATTGGCTTTGGCTGTATTGGTTCTGTGCCATGTCGTCCGCCTGAAAACCCCCCCCACCCTCCGTCTCCCAAGTGCACGTCCCTTTTGCTCTGACCGCGCTCCGCCGGGGGCGACCGGTGCGGACCTCGGTGCCCCGGTCGCCGAGGTATGGACGATGTGTTCTGTTGGATGTGTAGTGACGGACGACCGCAAGTCGGACAGGGACGTGCTATGCGTATGTATATTGTATATACTGTGTATGTATGTATAAGGTTTCGGCATGTTTGTTTGGTACTAAACTCAAATTACACTATCTAATTATGTGGGAGCCCTATCTCGTTCACAAGCGAATAGAGCATGCCGTAGACTACTTTATTAAAGCCTAAATAAAAGTGGTTGCTCATATATACTTTTTTCTTTTGAATCCACTATATCTATGAGTCTTCTTGAAGGAACCCTGGTGGGCATATGTGGCGCAATATTATACGGCCCATAAGAGGATCTACACTGCTTCTGTGCCTGAAGAGCCCAAAGCCTGGCCTCACCATGTAAATCATAGGAAAGAATAGGAAAGGCATTGCAATGACTCCATGATAGTTACAAACATGTTCTGCTCCAAAGCATGTCACACACTGCTGTGCCACAAGTACAAGTCTGCTCTTTGGGTTGCTCAGGTACACCTACAAACCCTTCTTGTTGCCACCGTCCAAAATCCTTCTGAACCGTGGACTGCTGGAACTGGTGTGGGCTTTTCTTGATCATCCAGGATTCCATGGGTCTTACGAGGTTAGGCACATCCTCCTTGACTTCTTCCTTCACCTACTTGCCAGTCGGTGACTTCCTTGAGGGGGGCGAGCTTGTGCGGGCGCGTTTGCTTCACTGTGCAGCTGAGTCTGCAGGCATGCACTCCTTCAAAAGGATTTTTCACTGCTTTATTCAGCCAACTGGATGGGATGGAGGACATCATGGAGCAAATCAGAAGGAAGGTTCAGGGCGGCTCAGGCACCTTTCTCATGCACGCATCATTACTCACTTCACGACAGTGGGTAGGGCCAACCGAGCAGCCAAAGCACGGCTGAAACAGCGACAGAACAGTGTTCCTTCGCTGACAGCCAAATAGTCTGGTGAAAACTTCATCAAGTCAAAAAAATGCTCGAAAACATAGAAGGAGATAAAGTAGATGCCTCATAGACCTTCGTTTGAACTCTTCCCGTATCAGGGCTCCCAGCTCTTCGTGCCAACACCTCCAATCTATCCACTGCTCGACGCACTGTTCGACATCAGGTCTCCATCATCCACAGTTTGTCTGGGTTCGGGTGTGACCTGTAGAAGAGCTGGTAGGGGGTAGGGGGGACAAGAGCTGGGTGCAAGCTGGTGCGGTCACACGCATGGTACACCATCTCCGGCGCGAAGGGGTGTTGAGGGGTGTTGACGGTGAGTAGTCACGCACGGCGCAAAGCAGCCTTCGCACGCCTTGGCATGAAAATTTGCTCAGCAGGACCGGTGGCACACATCTACAACGAGTGGCAGCTCAACGAGTGCAACTCAGGACGATCAGGACGTGCTGCTCGGCTGCAGCAAGCACATCTTTCACAAGCCCCCCCCGAGACTTGGAAGGTATAACAAGGGAAATCACCTGTAGTGGTCTAGCTTTCAGTTGCTTTTGCACTGAAAACACTAGTGAGAGTGCTCTCCAAGCTGTGTGCCTCGATTATCTTGAAGTCCCAAAGAAGGCCAGGGAAGTAGGCAGGGACCCTGGCAGTGATTGACTCAACGGCTATGGGAGTCAAGACCTGGTACGACTGCTTGACCAAAAATGGACAACCTGGGAAGTCAACCTACTATGGCATTTGGAGCGTTTTCTCCTGCAGCTTTGTTTGGGAAACATGGGCCACCAGCTGAAGCAGGTGTAATAGTACCCAGCAAATCACGGTCCGAAGTATGAGATGATTTGGCAACCCAGTGATTACTACAGAGCTTCGGCAGTGGTTGGCATGCACGCGTGTCCCCAAGCGGAATCAAAACAAACCATACCGAGAAAATACATCAACAACGGGTGAAACCATTGCCATGGAGAAAGACCTTCCAAAGCGCAGCAGGCTGTTTTGGGCGGCATCAGCATGTCGAGTCTGCAGCTGGTGGGCATTCCATTTGTAGGAATTAGGCCCAACTCAGCTTTTGAAAGCCTTGCAAGACTCAACGAACATCTGGGAGTTGCTCTCCACTCAGTGACTCCTGCCATGAGGGTGTCCGCTTCTGCTTGGAACTGGATGAAAACACACACACACACCAACGATACATGGACCAGGACGGCGAAACTGAAGGCTTTCCTTGGAAACGTTGGCGAGGTGGGAGCCATCTTTCATGCACGTCCGGGTGTCCTACCCCAACCAGTTCTGCACCATTTCTTCAATCCAATGTGTAACACTCTCATTGCCACGAATCTATTTGCATGTGAATTCATGCTCTTTGCCGTGTGGCCCCCCATAGACCCTCTTTCTTCTGCGCAAAAAACAAGAAAACTCGCCCCCCCAAACACATCTTAGATGGTGATGAAAATCCTGGAGCACGTCCACTGTTTTGGAGCAAATCCACTGCAAGTTTGATGACCTCTGATCATCTAAGCACGATGCCCTGCCGAATCGACGACCCTGGCGGCGATGATTCTCTCCCGCCCAACTCAGGACCGTCCGACAGGACAAGAAAAAAGACTGTGCCGAGGTCGCGAGGATCGTCCCAGCGCGAGTTCTGGATCATCACAAACAAGGTGAAGCGAAAATAGACCAGTTCCCCAGAAAAGGGTCTGGTTGAAACATGTTGAACCACCAGTATGAGTGTTGAATGGATGTAGAATGATGGAGAATGGGCATACCCCTCCAAGAAGCAGCCCCACATGGAACTGCCGTGGACGTGTCTTTGTCCCCCGTGGGCGCGGGGTTGGGTGTTGTGTCGGTCACCCTTATATAGGGAGAAATGTGTCCTGTAAAATGTGTCAAAACATAAACC